ACCCCTGTTGGGTGGCAGGTCAAAGTTCCTTCTGCAGGAAGCCTAGAGGGAAATACAGCTTCTCCTTCACACAACTGCCTTTTCTCTTGCCTTCAATGGGATGCTCTGCTGTGGCCCTCGGCCTTTAGATGACTGCATTCAGGTAGTTAGCTTTCCCAAAACAGAGTGTATACAAAGAATACATCACTTCAGGGAACTCAGACTCACCAACTGAACGTGCTTTTATACAAGCACTAATAGAACAGCTCTATCTAGGAGATCTGTCTATAGGAGAGGAAAATCTGTTTTCTTCCTCCTTACGTATAAGATCTCCACCTAATCAACAGCTGTAATGCTTGCAAATTTTCAGAGCCTTCTGGCTTAGATATTTGGGATATAACATCACTTGTAAAATATTAGTCTCTGGTTCTGTGCATACTAAACGGGTTACATCTAAAAGACTTCCATCTGGGGAAAAAGGGAGGCAATGTACCATTAATAACCCAGCTGCAAACCTCAAATTCTCTGTCCCATACATATACCCAAAAAGGCAGAGAACAGAAACTTGAGCGCATCTGTAAGTAATAAAATGTTTCCTTCCCTCCTCACACCAGCTTTCTTGGCTTAATCCACACAGCATAAAAGTCTTTAATGTCTTACTCCTAAATCATCTCCATGTAATAGGAGCGGCAACAGCAGCACTGGAAAAGGGAACGGCTATTGCAAGGCACTTGGTACTTTCTTTAAATGAAGCCCCCAACCCTCCTATTGTCTGCAGATTGTTTTCATGGTTTTGCCATTGCAATTTTGATGAATGATTTATGCCTTTCATGAGATGATGAGTCAGAAAAAGGGGGAGGTTGCTTTGTTTCCTTTCTCATTTAGTGTCGGAATGAGAGCTATTTCTATTAGATATATCCTGGATGATCTATATTTATTAAATTAGAAATCATTAAAAATGTAAGCTTTAGTAAAATAAAGACTTCGAGATTTCAAATTCAATGTATAACTGGTATGGGAATATCATTTATCTAGTATTTAATGGGTGCTAATCTACGCTACATCCATGAGATTTAGATTTATGTCAGTGTAGTCAATAACCAGACAGGAATCAGCGATCATTGGCATGTAGCATGTGAAGTATTTAGGTCACAGGATTTTGCGGCATTATATTCTTGGAATAAAAAAGTAGAGTGGGATAACAATGATGGACGAGAATGCAATCTCTGTCCAGAGGTAACGAGCAGTTTTTGTGGCTTCAGGGCCAGATTAAAGGACTGATAACAGAGACATCCTTGCCTGGTGTTCCTGCCATTTGAATAGATCTGAAAATAAGGATGTTACATAAAAGTGACATGAGGGTCCTCATTTCAGTTATTAGCCATAGGAAATAGTCCCTTAAATATTTGGCTTTCATAATAACTAAAAATAGATTTATGAGTTAGAATTTGCAAACTTCTTTATTTTTTTGTCCTAAGCATATTAAAAGTACTAGTACAGACCTTTCTCTGTCCAGGCCTGCTGACAAGAGACTTGTTTTTCCAACTTATCTGTTGTGAACACCCTGGAAGTAGTCCAGGGGCACCCATGGATTCCCAGCTGACAAGCGAGAAAACATTTCTAGAGCAAATATTAAATCAAATTTATTTTTACATAGCATAAAATTGCAAAGCATAGCTCCAGTGCTTGATACACACTTAAGCACCATGAAGTATTCTTTTATTTTCATTAACCGTCGCTGATTTTACTAAGCTTAATCTTCACAGAGTTATTTTTAGTGGCTGTGCGTTTTTTGTGAACTGTTGGGCTTTTCTTTTTATTCTTAACCTTAAGGCAGTTTTCATTCCAAGTGGACTAAGGCAGCTACGTGCTTCTGAGCAACTGGGAAATGAGGTGCAAGCTGTGGGTGTAGAGGAGGTGCCCCTACCCCAAGTCTACTAGCCAGCTTGCAAAGAGGGGCTGTTTGGGGACAGTGCAGTGCATTTGTCTGTGCAAATGCCTGGGGTTTTTAAGCCAGGAGGTGCTTCTTTGTGCCTTTGCTTTCAGAGGGTGCTCGTGTCCTGCCCAAGTTCCACTAAAGGAGAATTGTTCGCACTGGAAGCGAGCTGAAGCAAAGGGCTCTGGCCAGAGAAGCTGCAGAGCATCTTCCTCAGATGGAGCTTGATGTCTGATCTGAATGTGTCTGGGGTTCACTGTACCATATATTTCTCCCTGTAGTAAATATTGTACTGGATCTACAAGACTGTGGGGAATAGTTTTCTCATTCTGATGGAGTTGTGCCATCCACAATACTAGATATTAAATATTGTTTCACATTATATCCTTTGCATCCCCAGAATAAAATACAATGGATGCTCAAATTGCTGCTGAAAACTACCCAGGCTTTTCTTCCATTTCTATTCCTCTGTTTTCAGCTGGTTTAAATCTTGAAAACATCTCAGCATAGCTAGAAATGAAAGCTTTTGGCAGCTGAAAAGCCATAATTCATTGAAAGAAAGGGAGTGCATATGATGGTGGGGAGCCTGGCTGACCAGGCGCTTGCAGCTTGGGCTGGATTGGGTTAGCTGCTCACTATCTTACAAAAAAGCGAATCTTTAGAAGAACTGTCAGGGATCACTTCTGTCTTCTCTGACTCCTGTGAGGCCAGGGTTGTTTGGTTTTGAGGGGGGCGTTGTTTGGGGGTTTTGTTTGTTTTTTGAATTCTACTAAGTTTGCTTCTGATATACACAGAAGTGGGAAATGGCCTAGGGAATAAATTGATTGGTAAGTTCATATTTTTATTCAGCACTAAAAGTTCTGGGCACAGATGTGTGATGCTTCTGTTCTCATGCAGACTAATTTTCATTCACTAACATTTGCAAACTCAGGCTGTTTCTCAGCTGTTGCCAAATGCTATTGGCAATTGCAATGGTTAGGAAATTTCTCCAGGTAGGTCTTCAAATTTTTTTCCCAGCATGGAGTTGGGTAATATTTACTACCTCTTGTTACCTTTTGAATACTGTATGCCTTTTCTATATTCACGGCCAGCCACCTGCATTTCCTTTTAAATATGTTTTGGGGTTTTCCTGCCTGATATTGAGGAGCGGGCTGGTTTTGTACCACGATTGTGACTGAAAGTAAAATGGGGCAAAGTGGCTCAGTCCATTGTGGCAGCCCGATCAACAGCAGGATATTTGTCCCGTGATAGGGAGTTGTTTTCCTATACGGAAACAGTCTCAGCTGTGTCTTAATTACAATACCACCTATACATCTACTGAGGTACTTCAGGCCTTCCTTTGGAGACATCTTTTAAAGGAATTAAGTCATTCCATGGTGAACCAGACCTTGTCTTGAATTTCTGCTTTGGACTGCAGCCAGTTCCAGGCAGACCGTGTGAACTGGCAGCAGCAGATGAGAGCAGACCTTTTGTAAACCTATCTTAAAAACAGTGCTTTTTTCCCCCCACATATCTCACAGGTAAAAGCTGCCGTAGCAAGAGCAGACTTTGACCAAGTATCATGTTGGTTTTCTTTTCCTCCGTAGAAGAAAAACAGGGTAACACTGTTTTAGTTCAGAGCGATTCAGAGAAGTGTTAAGTACCCCCAGTGCAAAGGTCTTTTACACTGAAATGCTCTAATAATCAGGATGGCCTTTCTGCTTTCCATGAGGAATCATTTTTTATTGTAGATCAAATTGAAGAGCAGTTTTCTGCTGTGAAGAAGTACAGAACAGGAATCCGTTGCCAAAAACCTCCTAAAAAAAGACACAAATGTCTTCAATGATATTTTTTAGACCTATGGGGAAAAAATTACCTCAGTAAGTTGGATGTGGGTCTTTGCATACAGGAGTTACCCCTTTCACAGTTTGGTACCCCTTTAGGAAAGCTACAGTGAATGTCGGGTAGAATAAAATGGGCAATCAGTGCCATGCAGTAAAAAGTAAGGTGGAAACCCTTGGGACTCAGAGCAGCAGGTTTGGCTGCTTACATGAGATACAGAACAGATGCATTTTGGTACAGCTTTTTGGTATTTGATTTTTTGACTTAAAACTCTATTTGCAACTGTCATACTTTTTTTCAACAAGTCGTGGCAAATGAGGGTTCACAGAAGTGCTGGTAGAAGTAATAGTAGGAATAGTGGCAGGTACCTTCCCAGTCATCACAGGTACCTGGCTCCCATAAGGAAGTCTGTGCTCTCCTGAGAAAAGCACAACCTGCTGTGGAAGAAGACGATTTCTAGTCTTTCAAAGCCTGAATTGTAAAAGGATGCCTGATACCTTGTTCTATTACCAGCTCGTTTTAGCAGAATCTCTCTTTAGTAGGGAAATACTTGCAAGCGTAAAAATGTGGTGAAAGTCACAAGAAGCCAACTTTTCAGCCTGTTGAAGCTACAGCTATATTTTAGGAGAGATGCATTCACTTAAGAATTGGAGCATCTCGCCTGACCAGAATTTTGGAGATGTGCTGTTTGATCTGGCTGGAAATGTTATAAGCCTTCATCAACAGCACTGTCTTGGAAATATTTGTATTCTGTAGTCTCAGCTGTTCGTTCTAACTTGTAAAGAGTTCCGTGAGGTTTGGCTCGGTATACCTCTGAGATGTTTTTTGATTTGTGCTCTTGTTGCTTCCCATTTGAGATCAAATGACAGACTTCACGTGACAGCCTATAGATTTGTATATTTGAGAGCCTGACAGAGGGCTTCAATCTTGGGATTTGCTTCTTTCTTGTTACAGAAGCTCTGCAGAGTATATTGCAAATCCTATTTATTCATTCATGCATTTAATGAGATGAAATGTGATGTGAAGGGGGCTTGCTTCCTAAAGATTGGGTGGTTTCGTAGTTTTCATTGTGCAGACTTGGAATTTTTTTTGATGCTATAATTTCACAAATTTCTTAACATCTTAGATGAATGTGTTGCATAAACTGAAAGTATAAACTGTTCAGTGTGCCATCATCAGCTTTGGAAATAGGAGTGAAGATTAAGAGACTGCTATGCCAGAGAACTGTTATCTTTTTAACCATTCCCTCTTATCTGTTTTCCAGAGAGCAGATTTGACCTCTGATAAAGATTTATACCTTGACAACAGCTCTGTTGAAGAAGCATCAGGCGTCTATCCAATTGATGATGATGATTATTCTTCTGGGTCAGGTTCAGGTAAGACAACATGTCACAATGTGATTTTAAAAAGTGTAAGAAGTAATGCAATTATTTGAGGAAAAGCTGTGCAGTTTTCCTTTGTAAGCTGGAGATGATACTTTCAGTGAGTATCATGAGTGCTTGGTGCTCTATTTACAGAGCACTGAGCACCCCTACGGGCTGGGTTTTAAATATTAACTTTCTGCTCTTTTCTCTTACTCCTTAGTTGCATCATTTCACCGTGTTATTTTCTCTCTGCTGTCTCTCTGCTTTCCCTCTGGTTTTTGCGTAGATCTCTCTGGAGTTTAGAAATAAGGATTAGAGAAGGCTGAAGTTCTCCCATGGTGTAATGCTAATTTAGCAGTCTGTAAGAAAACATAGCAGCAGCAATCTTGTTTTCTCTTATATGCATTCAGGTTCACGTAAACATGGTGTCCCTTCCTTTTTGTTGTTGTTGTTTTGAATTTAGAACTCTAGATACTGCCAAAACATGACGGTTTTCTCTGAGATGCTTACATCCATATAGTGAATAAAGAAATTCTTGAACATAACATACTGAGCTCTCAGACTTAAACACTCATTAGAGGTGTGTAGCTAGCTTGTAATTTTTCACAAAACTGTCAGTGAAACCTCATTAATAATTTCTCTTAGAAAGCCTCTTTGTGGAGTATATTCTAGACTAGCTGGGAGGCTCCAGCCATTAAAAGTTAAGTGCAGGATTTTATGGTAGTTCTGGAAGAGAAATTTCCTTATTGTTCTGAGTATTTGCTGAGCTGTTGTGGAAATCCCATTTATTTTCCAAGCGTGTTACTTGCTTGTGTGTTATTGCACTTCTTGTAATCTGTCTTTTGATGTTTATACACACTTGTGGATTTTTAAAGGATGAGCCCTTCTTGTAGCACCTTGTTTGGTTACTTTCTAAGCCACAGCTGAGATTTTTGAGATGGATTTTTGGTTTTCCTTTCTTTTGGTGATTCAAAGATATGCTAAAATGAAGTCTGCAGAGGTCTGATTGTGCTGCCAGGCAAATCCAGGCCTATGTTCATTGGCACCTGTGTTTTGGGATTATAGACTCATAGAATGTTTTGGGTTGGCAGGGACCCCTAGAGGTCATCTAGTCCAACCCCCCTGCAGTGAGCAGGGACACCGCTAACTAGATCAGGTTGTTCAGAGTCCCATCCAACCTGGCCTTGAATGTTTCCAGGGATGGGGCCTCCACTACCTCTCTGGGCAACCTGTTCTAGTGTTTCACCACCCTCATTGTAAAGAATTTCTTCCTTATATCTAGTCTAAACCTACCCTAGTTTAGTTTAAATCCATTAGCCCTTGTCCTGACACAGCTGGCCCTACTAAAAAGATTGTCCCCATCTTTCCTATAGGCCCCCTTTAGGTAATGAAAGGCCATAATCAGGTCTCCCCGCAGCCTTCTTTTCTCCAGGTTGAACAAGCCCAACTCCCTCAGCCTGTCCTCATAGGAGAGGTGCTCCAGCCCTCGGATCATTTTTGTGGCCCTCCTCTGGACCCGCTCCAACAGTT